GCTGCTAGGCTGCCACTACAATGCAAACACCCTCTTGACACAGAGCACTGACATGAAACACACACTACTCCTACCCTGACACCTCCACCTTCCTGCAGCTCTCAACACGAGCTGTGCGCTCAGGGGATTGCTCTGCAGATCTCTGCAGAGGAGGGTGTCCCACCATGGGCACACGTGGCCTGACATCTGAAAACGTCTCAAGAGATTACTGCAAAGGAAGAACAGCCTCTCTACAACAAAATATTAAAGACAAACAAAGCAAGAGCTTTAAAAAGCCCTCTCTTGGGGCACCATGAGTGGGAGATGCAAGATTACACATCTTGGCTCTACACATAGAGGACTGCAAACATGCCTGGATGCACCCCGCTTCTGCCCTGAAGCATTTGATGGGACAGTGGGTGAACTCTAAAATTTAGATAAACCCCATGATTTCATAGATACTTCTCTTTTCTTCCCTAAACACGTAAGTGCAAAACATATGAGATTGAAAGAAATTAGGAGGAAAGGAGAGCAGACTCGGCTGCTTCGACTGTAAACGCTCTGGGAAACAGCTCCTGATCCCCCCAAAATGCCCAGCAGCCACAGACACGCTCTCCACATGTGTCGAAGATGTTGAGAACAGAGAGTACATTTTTGAGATGGTTTTGCCTTAAGTTTTGCTTGTCATACTATGTTTTGAAAACACATTTTCACCTCCTTAAGCAAAAAAAAGGGGGAAAAAAAAAAAAAAAAAAGATATACTACTACACAGTGATTCTTTGTTCTTGGGGATTCAGTCTACTCTATGGCTGTGTTCATTATATATTAGAAAACCCAGGCCAAACAGTACAAGAAGTCCTCCCCCAAGGTAACATTTACATTCACTTCAAAAGGCCTCCCTGCAGAAGAAAATGCAGGAATTTTTTAAACCTTTAACTGATTTGTAAGAAATATACTGCACCAAACCACCACCATTTTGGGTTCAGACTGTTTTTGCCTGCTACAAAGAAAGCTAAAAGCAAGTCTTTGTGTAGCCAAGACAGCAGGAAGCAGAACCCAGGGAACAGCCTTCACCCATCCTCCTGCCCAAACCAGGGTACAGCTTAGTCAGAATATTTACTTTGCAGAGAACAGGGAATAACAACATGCACTCCTACAACCGTAAGGAGAAAAACATACACAGATAAAAATGGTTCTGAAGGATCTTGCTTTCTGTAGAAGGCAGATTTTAGAGATGCTGATATGGATACACCTCATTTTTGCTTGCCTTTCTGCACCATACCCCAGAGTTTTCAGGTGAGAATCCCAGTGCTGGGGCACCCAGTCTGCACCCCTATCATCACGCTGTCTCAGGTGAGAGGAGCAGGTTAGGTCCATGTTGAACATGGGACTTCAGGGCAACTAACCTACTTGTCTAGAAGAACGTCCAACCGAGGCCTGTTTTACACCCAAAAACTTATTTTTCCAACAAAATCAGAGGTCAGGGGGAAAAAAGGGGAAGAAAATAGCCTTAAAATCCTTTCAAAGTCACAGCCTCATCATTGTACTATCCACAGGCTGAATTCAAAATTTTGACCTAGTAAGCTTAATAGTGTACTATTAAAACAATTTTTTCCCCAGTTTTCTTTCACCTTTGGACACAGATAAACAGCATGACTGTGCCAAAGCAAGATGCAAGAGTCTTACAAGATGAGTGAAGCACCTAAATGCAAATAAATGCATTGGTCTTAAATGGAGCCTCATGCTGTACCTTCCTCAAGACATGCTGAACATAATTTCAGTTTAATATTCTGTTTCTCATTATGGGCCTTGGAGACTCTCTCAAGCACCATGAAAAGCAGTATTAACCCAGCCCTCAGCACTGGGGGCAATCCAGCCAAATTATTCATGCTGGTCTTTTGCTTCCATTTTTGTATTCTTAATGTTCTTAAACAAATCTGAAAGGAGCAGGGCTGACAAATACTGTAGACTTTACTTAAGATATTACAGACGGCCATGTTCTGCAGACCTGTGTCATTAAGCTAAAAACTCACACTGAAGCCAAAGGGAGTTTCATCGAAGCTGGGCGTAAAGACTGAGGCTCTGACAAAGAGCCCGTGTTAATCAGAGCCAAGCATGAAAAGCAAGAATGTTAAATAAAAAATAAAATAAAAAAAAAAGAGGAAAAAAAGAAAGGAAAAGAAAGGAAAAGGAAAAGAAAAGGAAAAGAAAAGGAAAAGAAAAGGAAAAGAAAAGGAAAAAGAAAAGGAAAAAGAAAAGGAAAAAGAAAAGGAAAAAGAAAAGGAAAAAGAAAAGGAAAAAGAAAAGGAAAAAGAAAAGGAAAAAGAAAAGGAAAAAGAAAAGGAAAAAGAAAAAAAACCCACACGCTTTCCTTCCCTCTCTTTGTAATGCAGCTATAAAGATTAGCCTCCACACTGATTTCAGAGATACGGTAAAGATAAGAAATGATTTGCAGGTGTGAGCATTTTCCTGTAGATGTTTGGGGCAGCACAACTGAAACCAGGAAATAAAACTGGCATGGATAAGCTTGGCGGGCAGACAAGATTCAGCAACATGGGTGGAGAGCCCATTTCTGTCCCAATAGATTATGCTTTATAGCCATGCAGAAATAGTAGCTTGTCCATGAAGTACCACTTATTGTTCCATGCAAACATTCTCAGATAGGCAGAAGGAGGTACAGAGGTGCAGAGCCCAGTACAAGAGCAGCCACATCCCCCCCCCAGGTGTTGTGGCTACATGTGGCAGTGATGAGCGGGGACCAGAGAAACCTTACATATCCCTGGATAACTGGCATCCACTGCTGCTTCATCTGATCTCCATCACTGCTGCTTCTCTGAATGCCACTACCCAGCCCATTCTAACTTTTTTTTAACAAAAAAAAAAAAAAGAGAGAGAGAAAAAAAAACAACACAATTTTACTCCACAGAATGTATCTGACCTGGGGTGGATGCCAGGAAAAAAAGTGGAAAAAAAAAAAGCTGCCTTTACTTATTTATTTTAACAGAACAAGGCAAAACAGCTTTCTCTTAGAAATAATAATGAAACCTTGCAGAATCTGCACTCCCCACACCTCAAAACCCACTGCTCCCCCATCCTGCTCCTCCGCCTCCTCCTCTTTCCTCCATCATTGTAAGTAGCACAAAAGATCACATTACAAATGCCAGCTGTGGCTCTTTTGGAAGGTGGCCTCCATCTCGGAGGTAGTATATGTTCCTCACAGCTTAAGTGGTTGCTATGGTAAATATGCTTTTTATTGAATAGCAGAGTGAAACCGCTTTTAAAGAGACCCATAAGAACCCCATAAATGGTCAAGATACACAGCAGATCAACCTCAGCCTTCCTGGAAACAGGTTTTTCTTTATTTTCCAACATGATCTCGATTTTTGTACCGGCAGCACCCTTTTTACTGCATGTGTGTTGTCAACTCATCTTCATATTGCCCATTCCCAGTGGAGGGGCTAAGGGTGCTGGCAGTAGTGATGCTGTGAGCAGGGACCCCAACCAGGACCAGCACCTCAAGCTGCTTTGATTTTTCAAAGGCAAGCTTGAAGGATAGCAGGCGCTCAAATGTGCAGGTGATGCCCAGCTCTGCCACCCAAACTCAGCCTGCCCTCAGGCTGCAGCAGCTGGGAAAACTTCCCACTGCCTCACAAATCTTCCCATAAGCCCATACCACCAGCAAGCCTAAGCTGTGAACCCAGAACCAGAGCCCAGGGGGAGATGGTTCTTGGGCACAGCATTTAGAAAAATGCTAAAAGAAAGAATTTATTTTGGTGTGTTTCTTATCAGGGAGAAGATGATGACAGGTTTTGATGGCTGCCCCTTTCTGAATAAGCAGCCAAACATCTCTTCTCCCACTTCTTCCTTCAGTAACAGCCCAAGCGCACAAAAAGGAAAAACAAAGCCATTCTAAAAAATGGAAAGCAACCAATGTTTCAACTAAGCAAGTACTGGACTGTACTCATCACTTTGCCATACTGGGCAGTCCATTCTGCAATCTATTTTAGAAGCTATGAACTCTAGAAGATATGGAACCTTTTCTTTCTTTCTTTCTTTCTTTTTTTTTAAGGCACTCATAGCAAAGGGCTGACACTTCTCAAGTTAGAAACAACAGTGAAACAACAAAAATTTTTACTATGATTTAAAATATCTAACAGAACATATACATGTACAGTCTAACAACTATATCCACTTTAGACTTCGTAACAGAAGAGAAAGAACAAGCATTGTCTCTTGGGACCAACCTTGTCATCCATTCATCATATAAGTTTTCAAAAAACACAGCATTTAACAACAAAGTATCACAGAAGAAATATTCTAAACCACCACATGCCATTTTTCCAGAGGTATATTCTCCAGATGAACCCTCAGAGCTAAATGGCTTATTAACAATAGATTGTGCTGAAACTGGCCATAGGTGAGGACAGGAAATGCATAATGCCCCTCTGACACAGAACCATATAAAGAGATTCCTTTTGAATCTGTGTGGATGCTGTTTCAGAAAGTAAAATGAAATTCCAATACTTTTCTCGTGCAAATTTGTATCAAATATTTCAAATTCAACGTTGTCTTTCAAACAGACACAAGAAAATTTAACCAAGAAGTTAATAAGATAAAAGACTGTAGAGCAAGGAAGCATTTTTGTTCTTTTTTTTGGGGGGTATGCTTTCCAAAAGTCTCTCTTCGTTAATCTCAGTTCAACATAATCGTGTGTAAACCAGCTGGATCACAATTCATTGCCACTAAATCATTCTGCAGTGTGTAATCTTAAAGCATTTTCAACTCTATGCTCTCCTAATAAGCACAGGGCTAAGTAGCATAAATGATAATTTAATGAACGGCCCAGCAACAAAATATATATTCCCTCCTTTTACCATGGGCTTCTTAGAGTTTGTTTCTTTTCAAGTATTCATCTTTCCATTTGTGCAAAAGAAAAGCGATGACAATCAATGCGATTAAGGTCAAATGCCTTTAAGAAAAAAATAGAAAACAAATAAAGAACATCTTCTGTGTTTACTTACAACAATGTGTGCTGGAGATGGAGACCTAGCATCCTTGAGGGCTTGTCTACTCTGAAGGCTCCCTGCCTGAACATCAAGCAGTGGCCATTTCATCTGCAGATACTGGATGGAGGAAACAAAAATGGGAAAAGAAAAATGAGTTCAGAAAAGAAAGGCAAAAAAAAAAAAAAAAAAATAGCAAATCTTAGGTAACATGGGCAAAAAGATATAAATTAAAACGTATGCAAGGAGCTGAAACAAAAATTAAGACGACTTTGCATGTTTGTGGAAATAAAAAAAAAAGCATCTAACAGTCCCATCCCACCAAATCACAGTTTAGGAATAAGAAAATATGGCAGACTGCAGAGACAATACTACATTAATTTTATTAATCATAGCGAATCTAGAAAAGCCACCCAGAGGCAAAATATCACAACCACAGAGAAGATGGTACAAGGAAGGGGAAGGTAGATTATCAGTCTCAGGAGACAGAAAACACCTATCAGTAGTTAAGAAAATGATCTCAGTATTTAAAGGATCACATCTGTTGGCCCTCTTTCAATAAATGCAGCATGTCAAACACTCTAACTTCACCCTGAAGGCAGAGGTCTGCCCAAAAAGCTGTGCTGAGTTCACATCCATGCTGGCTCTTAGCATCTATCTTTTCTCCTTTCCACTGGCTCTGGAAGTCACCATGGGTTGTTTTCTTCTTGCTCATCATCACCAGGAGACAACTCTTAAGGGACTTGCACAGTGTAACTTATTCAATTACATAGCCAAACTCAATAATCTCTCCAGTTGATGATGTCCAAGACAGAATATAGCCTGGTGCATTCACTCTCAGCTGCTCTGGCCAGACACTCACAGATAGCCAGAACATATTTATGTCACGGATGCTGGTCTGAATATAAAGTCGATCTACAGTATAAGGGGGTGGTGATTCAGAAAGGGAAAGAAAAATAGAAAGAAAACAAAACAAAGCAGACCATCACATCATCAAATGTCAACTAAAACTAAATCTAATTTTTGCCTGAGCTTTACACTCCATGTGGTGCTACACTGTGCCAATGGTTAACATGTGATCTCTAAAAGCCCTACATTGTGCAGGAAAAATTGCTTACTGCCACATACTTCAGCCCCCTTCCAGACCTAAGAAAAGCAGCTGTGTGCATCGATCTAACCACTAGAGAAGATCCTGTTTAGCACTGGACTCTGATTGACCTAACAGGTCTATTCCTAGAAAATATCTAGAGAAATAGTTATGTTTACCCATTGCTTTTTTTTTGTGTGTGTGTGTAAGTAATCTAGAAGGAGAACCATGCACAAACAGCCCCTGCCACTCCAACTAACAACGGAAGCTTTATTTAAATCTCCATGAAGGAAGGAAGGAGATCTGGTTCCACGCTTTCAGCACATCACTATCACATTTGCTCATGTATGCAAAACATTTGCTACATGCAAGGCCAGTTTGCTGCAAGACCCATAGGCACCGAGGTGACCAAAAACAGGAGGATGCATTCCCATTTCCCATCGCTTGGCGGGTCTGAGATTTCTGAGCTACTGGAATGCAAATAAACAAAGGCATACTCTGGATTTGTGCTCCACACAAGTTCCTCAAGTTCCAAGAAGTCTTGTATTTTTATTCGTCTTCACATTTGGGATTTGTGCAATGTGGACCAGAATGTTTCAGCAGTTCTTGAAAACAAGAAATAAAACCCAAACAAACGAGAACTAGTCTACTGTAAGCAACATTTCTAACTCATATCACTTGATTGTAAGCCTCTGGATACTTGATCGCTTGTATCAAATCCCTGCTCTTCCATGTAGGCAACCACGACATAAATTCAAAAGTTGAGATTACGTTTGTGGTTTCAAAAAAATGTTTAAAAGCGCAACCCAAATGCACAGAAATGAATTCAAAGCCGAAGATGACTGAGAGCTTCTTAACTTCAGGGTGGATTTGATACATTTCAGATTTGTGAACAGCGCTATTAAAACAAGTCGCTGATAGATTTTTTGGAGTCTGTCAGTTGTCATTCACATTCAGTGATTCTAACTCTGCCATGTAAAGAGGCACGAGGATTTCCAGGAAGGAACAAAGGCTCCATAGCATTTGTCCTGATGGGTCACAATGCCTAGCAGCTTCCCTTCCCTTCAGCCAGGGAGTGAAGTACTAAACTCTGGTAAAAGGCACTGGGATGTCATTCTAGAGACCACATTTATTTCTTCTTCTGAGGCAGATGTCTTCACAGGATGTCTGCCTCCTGACACATGACTGTTTAGGAGAGTGAGAAGTTGCTTCTAGCACAGCTAAAGTCCTTACGAGAACCAGCCAGCTTACAGAACATGGCCAATGAGCAGCTGTCCACCCAGACAAAGCAGCCACAGGTTTCCATGAGCACTCGATCGTCATGAACAGCTCCGGAATGCCATAAACCTGGTAACTCCTGAAGGATCTCATGTCAGTGATTGTTCTAAAAGACAGGTCAAGAAATGCATGGGCTTCTCTGAGTCTGTTCCTGAGGGCAGACCAAGAAACACTGACACGGCAGCAGGAGCTAGCTCACATCAGAGCCTATCTTGCCAGCAATTACTGTAGGGGTTATAAAGCTTTCAGGACTGCCAGCTCTGCTCTTTTTACTAGCACTAAGTTCCCATATGGAGAAACAGGGCAAGACAGCATGACCATTCCTGCTCTACCTCCATCTTGCAAGAGCCAAGAGAGGTAGTTCAAAAAAAAAAAAAGCTTCATGAAGAGCTGGCCATTACTTTGCTTTTCTGTGCTGTAAACTCTTAAAGTTTACGTTCTCAGTAAAGTCTGTTCCCCATCCCTGCCAAAACAGGTTCAGAAATCTTCCAGCAATGGCTCCCACAGCTGATGCCAATTCTCTGGGACTCACTGTTTGTGGGCACAGCCCCAACCCACAAAGTCCCATTTCACACCCACACAACATCTTCCATTTTCATGAGTGAAGGTATGAGGATCAGAGAAGCAGCTTGCACAACTCCACTGAGTGGCCAGGCCTCATCACAGGTATGTGACCTATCCACCATGCAGACAGGGCCACCATCCTCACGCAGACAGACCTAAAGTTTCAGTGGTGGAATGGTCACAACACGGGCTGTCCTGCTGGCTCTGCAATGCCAGCCCCGTTGATAAAGTACAAAATATTAGCATTGTTTAAGGTGACGAGCCTGATTCAAGGTCTCCTCATCCAAGAATTGTCATGCCTGTAACACAATATTGATGTGGTGGCTTATAATTCTTATTTTACATAAAAGCTTCATTGTGTGCCAAATTCAATCTCCACAGGCTACCTGAGCCACAGATTTTTACGAGTCTACATTTCAGCGCTGCGAGTCTACAATACACATAATTTTCAATTATGTTAGGGCAGAACAGGATCACTGCCTATATAACATTACTGGTTGGAGGAAATGAGACTCAGCCCTACTGCCGAGCGAGCTAACCAAATCCAGATGGTGGGCAGAGCACGGGCTGGCCGAGCTGCAGCGTGGCTGCCCTCCACAACTCTCTCTTTCACAAGGAGGCGGATGCCAGCCCCAGCCCCTCCGTGCTGCATGGGATCAGGGGAGCCATGTCACGGTACCCACGTGCAGCACAGGGAGGGTGAGGGAAGGGGAGGGAGGCATGATGGCTTTTGCAGGTCTACTACTGCTGCACTGCGCTACAATATTCTTATTAAAAAGGAGAAGAAGAAAAAAAGTCAGGCGCTATTACAGCAGAGAGGTAAATCCTTTCCTTCCTCAAGCAACTAAATAGCAGGAAATCCTATTCTCTCGGCCCTAAATGCAGATTTGAGCCAGACAGTTCCTCTGATTTGCAAGGAGTCCACAAAAATTCAAGGCCGACTTTCCCAGCCTCCGACACTGGGCTTGCATTCCTGCACCAGGGGGGAAGGGGAGGCGGGGGAAATCCCCACTGCCCTGCTCCTGTAAGCGCTGGACACGCGCTTGCTCCTCTCCCATCCTGGGCTCAGCTGGAAGTCACAAACTGCCTGCACAAACATCAGACTTTTCAACAAGTTAACTCTAACAAATCTGTGCAAATTATTTTGGAGGAAAACTGTTGAAATAGGCTCCGTTGGCATGCTTCTGACATATTTTAAAGTAATGTCATCTTGGCATATTTTATTTCTGCTTAACAATATGATCTGATGGGGACCATTAGCATGTGTGTGTTTAAAAAAGAAAAAAAGTTTTATGGCAAGTCTCAGAGAGCTTAAGCAAAATAATTGTTAAGCTCCAGGCCTCTGCACAAAAATTAAAATACGTATGGGGTGAGCGTACTTGAGAGAAACCAAAGCTTTTAAAAGGGCTGTTAAATTGTCAGCACAAGGGAAATGGCAAATGATTTGAACAGTCCAGATTTTTTTTTGTAGCAGGAGAAAAAAAGCACCCCAACCTTTCCCTTCTACGAGCAGTATGTCCTCACCTCCCATCTGCAGCCAGAAGGTCCTGCAAGGCAGGGACACACTAGAACACACTAGAAGCAGCTCTGCACAGGTGTCCCATCTTCCCCTTTTCCCCCACCCCCCAAAAAAGAAAAAACACTCGAAGAAATGGGGAAACAAACATGTTTTCCAAGATTTCACAGCAGAGTTGGTCAAAAGTAGCTAAAATACACTTATTGGACTGAAAGAGTCTGCTAGAAAATCTTACTCAAGGCCAGCATCCCCCAGCTCTGAGGCTCACAGTGCAGACCCAGTGACAGGGATGGCACAGAGCTTGCAGGTGTTTCCTGCAGCAGTGTCCGACCTGGAGCTGCTCCCTTGTCACACTATTGTTTTCATCACTGGAATGCCCTACAAGTGATGGCTCAGAGCAGATAAATACATAAACACTTTTTTTGTTGTTTTTCTTTTAAACTGTTTTTAAACAAGAGGGAAATCTGTACAACACTTTCCAGCTCAGGTTTCCTGCAGCTGGTGCTTATTAGCTCCCAGGAACTGAAACAAGCAGAAGCAGGGCTGCTGGAGGTGGGAACCACACGGTGCCACAAGCCATCTCCTAAGCATCGCAGCACACCACTGCCTCCAGTCTGAGCTCTTCCTGAATCTCAGCACAACACACCAGGTCATATTCCTGACCCTAATCCTGCT